AATACAAGACGAAGTAAAAGAACTGACGTATCACGAACATCTACCATTTCAAGGAATACTCAAAAACTTGATCAGATTTAACAAATATGTGAAAAAAGAAATAGTAACCAACAATGAATACTCTGAGCCATATAACGAACATTCTTCCAAGTATGAGTAATATTATTAATAACAAACTATTCGAAAGTTTTATTTCTTTGCGAATTAAGATTTCAAATAGATAATAAATTTTGATTTTAAATTAATACTTGATTCTCTTCTTACGATCAAATTATTCACTAAAAAGAAAGACTGTTTTTCTTGTGACACAAAGATATTGAATATCAAATTGTGTGTGTCAAAAAACAAATTGATTTTATTTGCCCTAACGAAAATTATCTTAAAGTTCATTTTCTCTTATCATAAATCATATTACATTATAAATTAATATCTTTTCATCACGGAACAAAACAAATGATGAAGAAAAATAGATCTTCTTTAAATATTTTCGTTTACATAAGCAAAAAAACAAAAAAAAGTAATCTTTACAATATTTGCACATTCTTATCTTACTACGAAATTCTATTAGAAGTAATTCTATACAAAAATAAAAATATAAAACAAATTCATAACTTACATGGATTGAATAACGAAACCACATACCACATATTTCTTAATGTTTTAGGAAAAACGCCAACATTTTGTTCTTCAATATAATTAGATGAAGTTTCAAAACCACTTACACCTAATAAAGCTAATGCAAATCCATAATAAATATCTTCAGGAATATTTTTTATAGGTTTTGTTTTCCAATTTTCTATAAACATAGCTATTGAATCAGTTGATTTCATTATTTTTATTAAACACATTATTAAAAGTAATGTCATTGTACCGACATGTATGACAAATATTACTAAAGCAACATTTGCTGATTCTTTTAAACCTAATAATGTTAGTAAACAAAAAAATCCTAGTAAAGCCATAACTGCCCATGATGGATTAAGTCCAGACCATAAATTTTGTCCATAAGCAATAGCTGAACTAGCTGATACAACAGCTGTAGCTATATATGAAACTAATGTTAAACAAGCTGCAATTGATGCAATTAATTTTGATGTACAATTAAGTAAAACATTATATGCACCACCATTTAATGGAAGAGCAAGACCAACTTCAGCATAAATATTTCGATATAAATAAAGAACAAAAGCTACTAGATACAAGGAAATAAATGAATATTGACCAGCTACAATAAAGTAAAAGATCTTAAATATGAATGAAAAAAAAAAAAACCCTCAGAATTTCATTACCTTTTTGTGCACATATTCCTGCAGTATAAAGACATGACGAAGAAATATCATTACCAGCAATAGCTGTTGCACGCCATTCACCTAACATTTTATGACTTTTATTAATATCTTTTTTACCACCAATGCAACCACGAATACGTTCTTTAAAAGTTATTCGAGAATCGGCTGATGTTGAAGAATCATATATTTCATTGAGTACTGTTGATGTTGGTACAGAATCTGCAGAACAAGCAGAAAGATCAATACGAGTTACTTCACCCCAACGACCAGGAAAATCCTAAAACAAAAAAATTTACAATTTATTTCTTTTTGTTAATTTTAAATCATTGAACAAAATAAAAAATAATAACCCAAGTAGCTGAATGTCGTCTTCTTTCATGTTGATCCACTGATAAAGAAGTTTGTTGTGGTTGTATAATTAAAGGTGAAACTTCAGTTGAAGATGCTATATCAAAATCATCATCATCATTTAATAAAGTTGTTGAAGTCATTTATATAATCTAAAATATTTTTCATGATTTAAACTGAATAATTCTTTACATTTGTTGTTTTACTTTATCTAACATTTGTTTTATCAAAACTTATAATTTATATTTTTAGACACTTGTTTCTCTTTTTTCTTCTCGTACTTTCGACTTGGTTTTATTTCCAAGTTATCATGTTTTTCTAGATAGTAGATAGTGTAAAAAAAAAAGTTTTACGAAAGCGAAATAAAAAGCGACGATGTGTTCTCTAATTGGTTTCTTATTTTATCAAATAGTCATCATTCTTTCATTCTCATTGATGGTAGCTCCAAATTTTGTTCTATATTTACTTTATACTAATTCATTTTATTTTATCACTTTAATATATATATATCATATGATGTTTTCTATGGCTTCATCAGACATACCTGATCTTGAAGAACTTCGATTTTATCAACTATTAACATCGAATTTTAATGATTTATATATAAAAGCTCAAGATATATGTTCAATAATTGTTATACCACAATATGTATCCAATACTTCTTCATTACCACGTGACCTATTTGAATCACATCTATTTCGTCCATCACCATTTTATCTACGTAAACATGTGTCGTGGAATGACAAATATGAAATTGAGTTTGATAATAATCGTACTATACGATTTTTATATAAAAAAGGAGGTGTAGGTGAAAAACGAGTGAAAATTTTAAGCCAAGAAGATGTTCGTGATAGTGTTCGACAACGTTCTTATAGTATATTAATTATAGAACAACCATTAATTGATATTCATGCAATAAAAACTTCACAAAATGGTTCATTATTAAAAACAATAAACAAACCATTTATTCCAACGGTAAGCATTTATAATCATTAAAATCCGAATCAAAAAATTCACTTATTTTTTAAAACATCAAAGCATCATTTATATCAATCATGTTGTTGTTTAGATCAAGTTATGACAAACGAAGAAAACATTGAGTATGATTCATTTGTGTCATTAAAACCACATTTGTCAATAACATAAAATTCTTCATATTGATTTTAATCACAGTTGATATTTCGATAGCGAATATTTGAAAAGGATAAACTTTTTGTTAATCATATTCAAGTTTAGTCTGTACAAATTGTGAACTTTAAATAAAGTCTTCGTTCTAGAAAATTCAAACGTTTTCGAAGTATGACTAATCGTCAAATGTTATTATAGTTTTCAGAAAATGCTTAATTTTCTGTAAAGAAGAATTTCAGTTTGACTTTCTGCAATAATTAATTTCGAATGCATTGAATAAATACCAACAATTATAAAGATGTTTAAAAATGAATTCCAATTTCATAGAAAACCAAACAAGATTCTTTAAAAAAAAAAAGGAGAAAATTAACATTACTTTTTCGAAAATCATTTCAACAATGATGACTATAGAGCCATTGTTTAGTCGCATATATAAGTCAATCGACGGTGTTGAGAGTACATTTTTTCTCTTCCACAGTTGCAAAGAGTATATGAGTTACATAAAGTGCAGCTGACACGTCTTAGTTTGTCATAAAACAATAAAAATAAGCAATAAATTTTTCTTATTAGTTATGAAAGATAATAAATGTAATATTGTTTCTAAAAATATTCCCGGCTTTGTCATTGTTTCTTTATTTTTTGTATTATGTATTGATCCTCATATATCGTCCTTGACTTTAAAATCGATTCTTCACTTTGAGGCATTGTGTTCTTTTTTATTAATTACACTTTTGATAGAACGTTTGTATAGGTAGTCAAGTACATAACAGCCACTTTCTAGTAGTTATAATGCTACTTTTGTCTAAAACCACAGTTTCGTTCCAATAAATTTATAAGAAAACCTTCATACAACATGAGGAATGTCATAATGTCTGTTACTCACGTATCAAGATTCACACATAACTATTAGGTTATTCACGGTTTCTATAGACTACTAAATTAGTCAGTGTAATGTAGCGAGATGAATACCCATCTCGATACTAATATGTTTATAGAGTTGAAGATTTTAAGTGAATACTTAATCTGACACACAGATAAGTATTAGGTTCCATATCTGCTTTGCTAGATATCCTGACTTGTAGCTCATCGTTATCCAAGGTATGGACATTATGACATCTCTGTAAGTTTGGATAGAAAATACTCTCTGAAATCATCTATATCTAGAACTGAAAGTAGTAAGCACTATCGCTAGTTCTTATAAGTAGTCTGGCATATCAAGAGTTGTACCAATAAACGTATGACAATGAAAAAATTTTCTCTCTTAAATAAATAAGTGTATTATTGTTCTAAATGTTAAATTAAGTTTCTTCTATAGGTGGCTAAATTTAGTGTAACATCAGCAAGTTATGAATCATCATTTACGTTTCTTGATTCCTTACGTGAAATTGAACCTGCATTTGCACGATTACGTACAGCATTATTTTTATTTAATGAAACATATGTTATATTACCAAAATATGTTGAAAATGCTATTGATAAACTTCGTCAATTACGATCACAATTTCTTCAAGAAGCTTATCAATTATTAAATCAAAGTTGTGAAGATCGTGATATTGAAATAGCAAGTGAAATTTTTGTAACTGGTAATACATATACAAAAGTTTGGCCAATTATTATTCAACATAATGAAAATAAAGATCAAATATTAGTTGAAAATATAGAAAAACGTCAAAGAAAAGAACAAAAAAATTCAAATCAAATTGATTTAAAAATTAATCAAAATGCATTAAATGAATTAAAAAAACTTGATGATCTTAAATCAGCCTATGAAAAAGCTAAATGTATTCGTTCAACACTTGATTTAACAATGGCAGCTAAAACATTAATGATTGTTGATCCAAAAAATTCTGCTGTTACATATCATTCATCATTGAATGCAATGCCAATGGCAGCTGATGAAACATTAACTGCATTTATTGATCTCATATGTCAATTAATAACAACAGCACAACCTAATACTCATATTCGTTTAGTTGCACATGAATATTATACAGAAAAATTTAGATTTTCTCCTCTTCCACAAGATATTGATTATGCTTTTACAACTTATCGAGGTGTCATTGAATATTTAACAAATAGTTCTTCTTGGTTTTGATAACAAAAAAAAAAAATAAAAATGAAATGAATTAATAAAATTATAAAGCCGGTGATTTCCATTATGTTCTGTTTCGGCAGATATGTGTGTTTTTTTCTTTTTATTTAATAAAAATGTAAAAAGAATAATTCAATTTATATTTATGTTTTTCCTTGAATTGTTGTACCAGTTTCTTTTACAGCTACATTAGAAGCAACTGTTGATGATGTATCTTCTGGTGGAGGTAAATTATTTGTTTGTTGTTCGATTATATCCATTAAATCATTTGCCTATAAAGTGTTATTAAATGATTTTATTTTTTTGGAATTAAATATATGATAAGAAGAAAAGATTAACGTACTGTTGTTACTGTTGGAAGATTTTTTAAATGATATACCATAACTGAACCAATACTAGTACCAGCAAGAACACACTGAAATAAAATACAATTATTACGAGAAATGAAATAAGAAAATAAATACTTCAGAATTTGGTGCATATGTTATTGAAGTAAATATATATTGTTGAGTAGCTAATATGACATTGATTGGTTCAAGTCTATTCGAAAGAAAAATGAATAAAAATAGAAAATTCAACTGGAAATTATTTAGATTTTATATATATGTATATTTTTTTTATTAATATATAGGCTAGTCTATACGTAGCTTTATAATAAAACATTTGAATATCTCAACTAGATTCCATTCTATAGGGGCAATTTTTATTATCGTGATCGAGGAGTTTGTCGAATTTCTTGTTTCATAAGAATAACATTTATAAATATTGAGTTGAAGTCTCATTATTGGCTTCAATAATGAATTAAGATGATTCTCACAAATCCATGTATTCATATATTTTATCGTATGTTTTCGTAATGTACTACGAGACTTGTCTTTTGTCTGTTGCTACAAATATAAATAGCTGTCTTTCCTTGAATACAATGAAGTGAAAGAGAGAATTATTGTGTTTATCATTGTTGGTGAACGTTTTTATAGAAATTTTACAATTTCAGACTTATGTTATGACTTGTAAGATAATAGAGTTTAAATTAAAAAAAAAAATTTGAAATTTTCTCGATCATGGAAAAAATCCTATCGCCATAGAGTGAAACAGAATGAAAATATTCAATTTTATTTTTCGTAAAGCTACTTATGGATCATTCTGTACATGTATGTGTCAATCGAATTATTTTAATCAGAACAGTTTGATACTCATGCTATTGTAAAATAGAAATAAATCAATAGTAATCTTATTGATCAAAGTGAATATTCATTTATCAGAGATCTAGTTTTGAGAATGAATATAAAGAAAGATAGTTTTAGTTAGAAACCATTCACAAATTTGACTAACAGCATTTCTCTTAATCATGCAAAGACCATATCCAAGTCATTACTATAAAATTCCATCAATTTGATACTAACCGTTTCATAAACAATGGATCGTTTTGATTCTAGAGTAAACTCGACATTTCTTTTTTACAAGACCCACATCTGGAAGTTAAAAAAAAACGAGTTTTTGTCAATACAGTAGTGATGATCAGAGAAGAACTATATTTGAAGAAAAGATATGAACGTTTATGTTCACTGAAATGTACATGTCGAAACAAACTTATCTCATCCAATTTTCTCAGCAAAAAAAATTCATAGCGAAGCAAAAATGTTCACAAAAAGAAAAGAGTTATTTTATTTGAAATAATTTAAATAGTAAGAAGAAAAAAAAAAAAAGGTCTCTTACGTATTTTTTGATAAATCCCATATTTCTACAGCTTCTTCATTGGCACAACAAAATATTGTCGCTGATTTTGGTGACCAACAAATATCAAATACTGGTTTCTAAAAATATCAATTGATTATAAAATTAGTTCATAGTTATATCAATACCTTTCTCGATGCAAATGTGATACATGGTTGATATCGATCAACTGTCCAAAGTGATACTGTCCAGTCAGCTGATGATGAAAGAAAAACACCTTTTGCAATAGGACTCCAAGCTATCCGATAAATTGGACCCTATATAAAAAAATATATCGAATATATTACTCAAAACTTGTTAGTACAATCCCTACGGGATTGAAATGTGACACACGATATAGCTGCTGTTTGTTAATCACTGAAAAATTATTTTATTCTATCTATTTTGCTACACTTTTTACTTAACTTTCCAAAAATGCAACAAAGAAGTAGTTCATATATTATATCGAGACGTTATTTATATACTGCCTATGATGGTATACCAATAACACCTGTCATCTCTGTCGGACAATGGGAAAGTTACAAATTAGTATCCTTTAGCTTCAATATTCCTTTTAAATAGTATTTAACAAAAATTCTAATCAACTTTCACTGCTTACTGTATGTCCAGAATAAGTATCTAAATATTGTTCGTTATATGAAACAGAACATCGATGAATAAGACCTTCTTCAGTCCCACATAAATATCTAAAAAATATATTGAAGTTTAATATATTTATTTGTAACAAAATTAAATAAACATACATTGTTTTATCATCTGGACAGACATCAAAACAAAGACCACCAGAAGTACGAAAAAGTAAATTTTCAGATTTTGAAGCTTTCGTATCTTTTCCAGTTTCACGTTTTTGTATTGTTTGTTTACTCAAAATACGTTTTAATTTCATATAATCTAAAAACAAAAGAACAAAAAATAAATTGTGTTTGAACATTATTTTCATATTAGTCTTTTTTACCATTTGACTCAAAGCCTTTACGTAATAACCATTGAGTAACTCGACCATCTAGAAATATAAATTTGATACAATGAATTCTATCAATACTATCAAAACAAACCGGTCGAAATCGACATAAGCACTTCGCCTGTATCATCATCACGACCTTTTTCAACTTCTACCCAATAGAGTTGCCATACAGGTGCTGTATGTTTTCCCAATGATTCTCTATTCATCAATGAAAAGTAAAAAAAAAAAAACAAAATTTTTTGTGTAAAAGAACTATACTCTGTATCAAGCAATGGCTTATCATTATTATTTTGAACATCATATACATTTACTGTACCATCGTAAAGACCAACCTGTTAGAAAAAAAAAGAATAGATTCGATAAGAAAACGAAAATATGAATCTATTTTTACCGCTAATAATGATGGAAATTTAACAGAAAATGCTACAGTTGTTACACCAGCAGATGTATGAAAATATCGTTCAGGATACTAAATAAAATTATGAGAATAAAAATTTCAATCATATTATTCAATCTATTATACGTCTTGATTTTTCAAAGTCCAACAACAGACTAAACCATCACGTTGATCATTATATTCAAAAGGACCATAGCCAACAGCAAGTAAATCTGAATTTTTTCGATTCCATGCTAATGCACTAACATTTTTGTTACTTGTTATTTCAGCAGAATAAGCTTTTTTAAAAGAAAAAAAAAAGTATTCAGTCATTTTTTATTTTCTTCAAAATTACTATTTACCAAATAATTTATCGAGTGCTAAACCACTATAAGTTGTTCCTTCTAAATATAAGGTAATGTGTTTCATATTGTTGTCAAAAAATTATTATGATATAGTGTCGTTTTAATTATAATAAATATTGAGGTATATTAAAAGAAAAAGATAGAGGAATTATTGATTAGGAGAAGATTTGAGCAATGTGAAGGTATACAGAATGAATAGATCTTTTAGTGAAAAAGGACTTTGTACGATAAGCTTTCTTCCTTAAAATTCTTGGCTAAACATCTAGCACTAATTTGTATTCAATGCTAAGCCTAAAGTAATATTCAAAAACTCGACGCCATCGAAATTATCTCGTCTAAGGAAAGAACGTTTCCAACTGGAAAATCGCTTATGAGTTGGAACTCTATGTATAAGGTAGACCCTGATGAGGTATAACAAGCTACAACATCCTAAAGATCTTCAGACCGTTCCTAAAAAGTTATAGCCATTTTACTGAAATTTTAATCTTGTAGTAGGTGTGTGCAAAACTATTGAATGGTAGTATTTTGACCTGAAATTCCATTCATAGATTGGCCTACTTGTGATCAGTATGTCCTGAAAATTTCAACTTTAAATAGTATTTCCTTCATGAGATATTGAATCTATAAACATGGGATTCTCTAAACTTTCCTAGAATATGAGCGATATTTTGGAGGTCAATATCTCGTGAAAGAAACACTATTAAGAGCTGAAATTTTCAAATCAAAATATCTTCACTTCGATTCTTTTATACACACGATGGTGTTGGCTAAAAATTCAGAAAAATAGCTATAACTTTGTAAAAAAGATTTCGGTGCCGTGATCCTTTTTGGAGTTTGAAATACTTCATTAGGATTTATTTTAAGCACAGAATCGAAACTCGAAAGGAGATTTTCAAGTTGAGAAGATTTGCTCTTAAGAAAAAAAAAATAACACGTAACTTTAATTCTCCACACGTTCTTAAAATTATATGTCTGATTTTTCTTTTTTAACAATATGAGTTCAATGCTGAGTGTATTTTTATGAGGTTCTCGCTCAAAACTCTAACTTTGACAGGGTACATGAAATATTGATAAAATTTTGTATATATGTTTGACTTATGAAAGTATATTAATAAAAAGAATGTTACACCTTCATATCTTATCATTCAGGAGATATCTAGAGACCAATTTTCAGAACTTGGATTGCATTCATTTAAAAAAGAACTCTTTACCATTTCGGATGAGGAGAAAGCGTTTTTTGTTTTTAGTTTTTACTCTGTTTCATATTTTGAACTATTGAATCGTAAAACATCTGAAATTTTTCGGCATAACTTTCTAAAAAACTCAGAGTTTATCTAGCATTGGCAATTAGTGAGAAAATTCTTTTTCCTTACATGAAGAACTATGAAAAAATCAATTGATTGAAAAAAAAAAGACAGCTCTCTAATATGAAGTATATTGAGGGAAGCTTTATCCGAAGTTGGATTATTACCGAAAAAAATCAATTTTGAGAAAAATAGAAGAAATTTGGGTTTTTATATAGTCTTCGTGAAGATGAAGCATAAATATACGTATTATATGTCAATGACAGCATTTTTCTTTGTACATTAGATTGTTCTCGTACGAGATACATCACACAATAGATAGTGAGAGGAGTAACAAATTAGGGTGTATGCTTAGGATGTAGGTGTGGGTGTGAATAAAGAGGAGATTAACATTCAGATCCTCATGTCATTGTAGACCTAATATTGTGTCTCTGAGATGTGCAAGATTTGATTACCTTTGAAAGATATTTCTTCATTTGGTAGATCTAACTCTACAAAAAAAAATTTTTTACCGATTGTTTTAAACGTAATTATTTGTGCAGATAATTTCAAAGATCATTGATAAATATTCCCAAAATCTTTGGGAATCAACTCTATTTTTGTAAATTCATAGACTAGGTAACTTAGGCAACATATTCAGATGTTGATTAAAGAAACAAATTTTTTTTTGACGAACATCAAGTTTTCTGAAGGTGGAGAAGAATTTAATTTTCCAGACATTCCTTTGTTTTTACTAATTCCTATTAAACTTACTTTCTTCTTTGACTACCAAAGGTGTTAATCCTCGATAAATAGCTTGTTTTGTTTGATTAGTATTCAAATTAAGTACTCGTTCCATAATAAATACACATGAAGCAATTTTCGATGACTTAAAAAAAAAAAATCCAAAAGAAATCAAATAATTTCATATAAAACTTAATCAATAAATTTTACATCAAAAGGTTCTGGAACTTTTGCTTCCTCACTTGCAGTTTTCGTTGCAGCTGGTTTTCGCATCGTTTCATCCATTGATTGATCCGAAAGACGTGTTCCATGTGATTTATCTACTCCAGCACTTAAAGAACGTGTTTGATCTATAATTAAATCAAAAATAACTATGTTCATTATTTATTAATAAATATTTATATTGATAACGAACCTAGACGCATAGTTCCATCATCGATTGTTTGTGTTTCATGAGTACCTTTAGCAAGTATAACTAAACGATAAGAATAGTAGATTTTTAAATTTATTTTTCAAATCAATACATACTTTTACTTTCACCTCTTTCTGAATCATACATATCTGCAGTTGATGCATATGCTTCTCGACTCTATTTAAAAGAAAAAATTCGCTTTTTTTCTTTTCTTTCAAACAAAAGAAATAATAATTTACTTGAGAACTTAATCGTTCACATTGAACTTCTTTATTTTTAACACTACTATTGAATGTATTCATACCACGATCACTAAATACATCACTACCTTGTTTACTTTTACATAACTAAATATATACATATAGATTTAAAAGACAAAAAAAAAGAAACTTGATTAAATATTCTTTTTTATATTTTGTTTTTTACTTCAACATATCGTTCATTTTCATGTTTTATTATTTCTATATCTTTTGAATCATTAGCAACAATAGAGCTATCCAAACTTAAAATAAATATTGTTTCTGTTTCACTAAGAGTTAATAATGGTTGTGATATTTCACCTTCTAATGACATTAATGAATGTGCTAAATACAAAAAATAAAAATAAAATGAATTAAAGAATAAATTAAATGCTCAATATTTTTTTTCATAAAAGCTTAGAAGAATTAATCGTTCAGAGGATATGGGTATGGAGTGCGATGGCGTAGTCAAGAGGATGTAAGGCTTATCTATACATCCTTCTTGGCTAAATGATATCTGGAGTGAATACGAATAAAAAGCTTTTTCCCCAGACGAAAAATTATTTTCCTGCTAGTATATAACCATATAACAAGTTGGCATCTCTCTTGAAAAATTTCTAATCATGTCCTTAGTAGAGTATCACTACAGACATGGATGTCGAGTGTAGTTCTAAGTGTAGAATGCAGGAGGGAATATAGATGCTACCATTAGGAAGGTCAACACCTACATCGTTAAATATTGAATTTTTTAAAACTAATTACGATGCTAGCACTAATTTTTTTACTGATCAAAAACTACTGAGCATTCATGATAAACTAGTGAGCAATTAAATATAAGTTAATCAATTATTCAATTAATATATAAAATCAATGTTAACCTTGTTCAGCGCTATACATAGCTATACTTTGAGCAAGTTGATCAGTTTCTTGTTCTGACGGAAAACTTTCTGCTTCAGTTCCATGTGAATTAAGTGCTCCACCATGGCTAACACCTATCATTGATCTATTTCAATCATAGATATATATATTCAAAAAATAAAATATTTTTTTTTTACTTCGTTGCAGAAAAAACTTGTTGTTGAGCTGTTGAATAAGCAGCTTCACTTGGCTATTTTAATTAATAGAAAACAAAAAAAAAAAAGGATATTTTTGCAAGATAAAAATCATTGAAGCTCTTACAGTTGATGAAACATCTTGTGTAAGAAAAGAATCTTTAACTTTACTAAAAAATTGTTCTGGATCAATAAGACGTTTTGGTGTAACATCTTGATTATTTTCAATAAGTTTAGGTAAAGTACGAATGGGTCGTGTTACGGCTGGTGCTGTTTTTCGAGCTAAACCTGATACCTGACCACCAGATCGTGCACCACCTGAAACACCAGTACGTACAGAAGCAGCTGAACGCAATGTTGATGCCATTTATAAGACAAAAAGACAGAAAAGAAAAAAAAATTCTTCAACTGAACAAGTATCTTTTTTTTTCTTCAACCATTCTTTGTTTCATCACTATTAACATTACCTCTGTTCCCATTCTGTAATCTTTCAATAGATGCCTCCCGTTTGTAATATTTAATATAAAAATAAAAAGAATTTAATCGAATAATAGTCATATCAAAACATAAGAGACAACATAGAAAAGAATGTCGAACTTATCTACAAGTCGTACTCGAGGCGAAGAAACTATTTACAAAACACAAGTTCTTTTATAAATAGATTCTAAAAAAAAAAATATTATCTAATTAGAAATTTTTCTAGGAGTGGCAAAATTTAACAACAAATAATCATAATATTATCAATGGAAATTCATCAGAAAATTATATTGAAAATTTTACTGATTTATCTAATACAGAAAAAAGTCTTGTACTTCGACAAGTTGCACAAAATTTAAAAACAAATCCTATTAGAAAACGTAAGTTTTGTTTCGTTCTTTCTAGAAATTAAAATTAAAAAAAAAAATTATTATTGTATTCAGCAGATCTTGATGATGATTTTAATGAAAGAATTTTGAATCTAATTAAGAACAATGTTTATGATGGAATTTCCCAATTAGATATTACTGACAATTCTTTACCTAAACAAAATGATAATATTTTAAAGAAAATATATGATGAAATTGTTGATATTTTACATCAATGGTCTGATAACAAATATAAATTACATACATTTTTCAATCATTCATTACCACATTCAATACGTTTTATTAGTTGGTATCCATATTTATCGAATATTAAACGTAGGTTATTGAAAAATCCATATTTTCTTTTCCAAAGAAAAAGAACTCGTAAAAATAATCGATATGAATTTTCTGTTGAAAAATAAAAGATGTTTGAATGAATTCACAAGGAATTAAATTTATCTCGTTTCCCTTGTACATCTTTCAAGCTACTATGAATTTCATATTTTTCACCCTTGAGTTCCTTTTAATTCGTTAAGCTGTTTAGTCCATTTGGATATTAGCGGCGTAACCAGAGTTTTGGCGATGGTAGGGCTCAGCAACGCTTAAATATCCGGTGGTAAGGCCCAGGTTACTGAGGTCTGTGGGGTGGTAGGGCTTGCGAGAGGATTCAGCTGACGATGCTAACACCGGTGGTAGGGCTGAGCCCCCCTGGCCCTACCTTGGTTACGCCACTATTGGATATGGGTTATAGGTCCATATATGAGAGGATCAGCCTATTTGTTTTTTACTCACATCCCACACCCACCCAAACATTCAAAAGGACGAAAATATTCTTCCAACTTTAAAAAGTGAGTAAACATAAAAGTAAAATAGGATGCATTTAATCACTCGTAGATTTATGGATGTTTGTTTAAAATGTATTATGATGGTTGTGAGAAAAGATCGAAATATCTGAAAAAAGGTTGAAAATTCATCTAGAATAGTATTGTTGATAATATGAATATGTAAATTTACAGTTGCATTTCATCAAAATCGTAAAACTGATGCTATATCTTTGCAAGACTTTACAATTAACTGTTTTCGATATTAACAATAACATGTCGTATGATATCTAATTATTTAAAATAGTCAGAATAATCTTATTTTTGAGATTGGCAATTTATGAAGTTAAGTAACCATAAGCACTGTAGATATTAATAACAATAGAAAATTAAAGTCGGAAGGTAGAGCGAATCTACTAAAATTTTTAGATCGTGAAAAGTTTCTTAATGATTTGGCAACTGATCCTCGTATTGTATTATCACCAATGGATTCTGAAGTTCAACGTAATTCTGATCGTCTAATTGGAATGTTACCAAGTGCACCTGATATGATCAATTCTAAAGGTAAATTTTTCTTCGTTAAATAAAAACTTCTTTTTTTTTTTCCGTGAAATTTATCGATTAGGAAATATGAATGCAGTGAAAGCAATACTCTCTTATCATCGTTCACTTTTTCCTTACAGACATGATTTGTCTAATGCTGAATATTTTTATGCAATACCAATTGTACTTTCACATAATACACCTTTATCAAGGTAAATTTGATCATAAATTAATATACTAAAAGCAATGATACATCTATTTAGCCTAGTTTTATTTTATTGAATGGATTGTCCTTTTTTTTTTTTAAGATGCTGACAATTTGAAATTTCATCTAGATTTTTGTTGTATAGAACTGGTCGAATTACCTAAAAAAATCTTATCTTTGATATATTCAGACGATGTTTTTGTAGTGAAACTTAGGAAAATAAAGTTTTTCAAAAAAAAAAAGAAATCAGGAAAACTATTCGTCATTTTCGTAAGAAAAAAGTTCTACATGCTTTTTGAAAAATATTACCGGGAAAATTGATTTTTTCGAGAAGACAACAAAACATAATAAATACGAGTTTGTATTAAAAGATTTTGATCATTTGAACTTCAGTTCCAAATGAAACGAATATCATATTCAGGTGATCGAAGGACGTGTGTAGGTGTTGCTGTGAGTGAAGATCTTTTGTGTACTCTCATACACACCTTCAAACTCACTTACTTTCAATGTTTTCTTTAGGATACTTTAAGACTAACGTGTTCTACAATTCGGAGTGTCCAATAGTCCTAGCACCATATTCAGTATTATCAAAAAAATCTGCACTAAAAAGTCTACTCAATATTTATAACAAGTTTCTGTCAAATATTAATCCTTACACCTCAATATTATTTTCGAATACGGTGACACTTGTGCTTTCCTTCATAGGCTCAAAATTTGACAAAAACTTGTTTCAAGTAATGATTATATCACTCTATGCAGATTTTCTATTGATTTTGAGTATAATATTGGTTTCGTTTGAAACGGAAGTTCTAACATTGAAAATCTTTGAGTACAAGTTTGTATTTATGGTGATTTACTATTATATTGAAAAATACCATTTTTTTTTCTAACCACATGATGGGAAAAATAAAACGAATATTCGAATTAGTATTGAAACTAGTAAGACTTGATGATTTTGACTTATGTAAATTTTTCTAGGCTTTTCTAATTTTTTTTAAGCCAACTACGAACACATCGTTTGAATCTATCGAAAATAATAGTTTTAAAGGAAAATCGATTAGCTCTATCCAACCATGACAAAAAGAACACTGATCAAATTTTGAATTATCAACACCATAATAAATTATTTTGTATTATATTTTCAATTATTCTTAGTTCTGAAGAATCCTATCTAGCATCACTTGCAATTTTAATTGAAATGTATAAAACATTTTTGGAAACAATCCCATCAATATTATGTAATATTTATTCCAATGTAAATAATGATATATTTCAATTATTTTTATTTAAAAAAACATATATTATTAATTTAGAATTCAACAGAAGAACTTGAACCATGGTTTTGTAAAGTTGAAAATCATTTGAAAAATGTTGATCAATCTATTCACAAACATATACAAAACATTCTTCATTCATCACGTTTGTAACACTATACTTGAATTTTATTTCAACAAACAATTGACTTCTATTTTTTTAGGCGCATACAAATCAACAACTGATACAAGTTCTGTGTTAATTTTACTAAGAAAATATTGTTATAAATGGTTCAAATATATGTTTGTTAGTTAGTATTTACATACAGTTATAAAACTAATAACGACAAAAAAAAAATATGCAAGAAAAAAAGAAACATCTCTAATATAACGCTATTATATTCAGATCAATCTATGAAAATCTTCTATGTATTTCTAGGTTGTCTTACAACTAATTCCTTATTATTTGTTTGGGATCAATATTTGATTACTCGTGATATATCTGAATTTCATAATGAACTTCTACCAGTCATTGCAACAGCAATCATTATAGCGTTGAAGGATTTATTAATGAAATGTAAAAAGGTTCGCTATTTATGGATATATAGACTAATGAACATAAGTTTAGAGTAGTTATATTTTTTGAGTTTTTCTAGTCGTTTGTAATAGCTAGAAAGAATCTAAAAAACATATTGAGAAACTACAAAGATTCTCTATCAAGATTAATGGACTTAAAAAATTTCGATAAAATTACTTGAATGAAAATTTTTGAAAAAACCAAGACATTCAAAGCTTTTAGGAAATGATTTTATTCGATAGAGTAAGTCTATTTTATGAAATTAAAAGAAAAATGCTACTTGAAGCCTTCTGTAAATTGATGAAGGAATGTCATGGAGAGAGCCGAGACATTTCATTTAACTGTGAAATATTTGTTCTATCAAATAAAACCATTTTCAAAAAAACTTCAAACAGATGCCAGGAAACTGATTTTACTAGTCTTATCCTCACCAAAGCAGTTTAATTGAAACTTTTAAGCCCACCAATCTTGATAGAGAACATTTGTAACAACTCAAACATTTTTTTTTTCGAATGACTCTAGAATTTTGTTCGTCACTAAAAAGTATACATTTTGAAATGTATAGCGATTAGTTTGTTTCTATGATGTTTATTTCGTTTTAGACATCAGAGATTGAATTTATTCTAAAAAATAAACCGACTATGATCGAAACACATCAATTACAATCAATTATTGCTCAATTTTTCCTGCCGAATTTAAGATATAAAATAAATTCTCAACTTTCAAGTGTGTAAATTCAAAAGAAAAGAATTTTCAATTATTAATCTTTTTTTTTCAATTTTTATAGTTGGTCCACACATTACTAATCCACAAGAACTCGACGTAAAAAATAACCCATTATATAATTTACTTCGTAAAATAACACAAACATGCAATCGAAGTATTGATACATAATTTCAATTCTTTGAATGCTCTCATTTTTTCTTTTAGTCGCACATGGTGAAGGAGAAAATAATTCAATACTTAATATGCAAACAATAAATAATATACACATAAAAAAATTCGATTTAAAAATGGCTGAACGAGAAATTATTGGAAGAATATCAAGTAAAAATGAATGTAATACATTAACATTTGAACAACAACAAAGATATAATCCAACAATAATAAAAGTGGTGAAAAAACGGATTGATCAGCGCTATCTTAATGAACTCAAATGATTATTAAATATTAGTTAAAAAAAAGAAACTAATTTTTTCAATGTTTTTCTGTAATTTTATTTTTATTTAAATGCTTTCTTTTTCTAATGATATAAAAATTTCTAAAACTTTCCATTCCGACACAAATATTATTGAAAGGAAGAGCATACATATCGTAATGCTGTAATCAGTTTCAATAGAGATTGTGTCAGAGTTGTAATTAGTCGAGACTTTTCAGCTGATCTTGTCCGGTTGATTCAGAAATGTCTTGTAGAATGACAAAACTGATCAGTTCGTTGAATTACTATTAATTAGATCAGGAGACCACCTTACCTTTTGTGATTTAAAAATTTTTGTCCTTTTAACTCTCAGTTTTTTGTGGATATTGTATAGTCTGAAGTAGCATTTATCGGCAGTTTCCATCTTTAATGTACGATAAATTGCTAAAGGTTGTCATATTGTAATAAATTTACTTTCAATTATCGGAAGAATGAATGATTTAGCCTACAAATTATGTTATATAAGTAAAACGATAAAAACCGATCACTATCATCATGTGTATTTACATATTTAAAAGGCGACCAGGAAATTTTGATTCGTTTTGTTTATGATAAATATTTTGAAAATTTATAAATATTCTCGCATAATGTTTTTTTTTATATAGAAAAGCTTTAAGTAAAAAGAACTATTCAAAATAAGTATAAATCAATAGTTGTAGTTCATTTAATATTAAAATGTCTATTACATTTAAAAGTAAGTTAAAGATTAAATTTTAGGCTAAGTGTGACTGAACTAATCAACTTCTATTGTGAAAATATTTTTAAATTACTTTATAATTAATTGAATATCTAATACGTTAACTATATATAACTCGTAGCGTGTATTAAGTCTTTCTGTGAAACGAAAGAATTCTCTCGAGAAAATAAATAACATCATTGATGAATTAAACTATTATATGTTCTTCATGTTGGTGTTGACAACTTTTCACATACAGGAATAAAAATCAAATATTAAAAAGTAGATTAGCAAAAAAACTGATGAAAATTTGATAGACTCAGAACTGTCAGATCAGAATGCTTTATGAAAAGATTCAAAAAATTAATTCATTTAAAAAAAAAGGTAAAAATCAGAAGACAAGTGATTTGTCTATTGAAAATCTATTTTATCTGATCATAAAATTATTCTAAAGTAGTTTTGAAATACAAATTGATTCGTTTAGCCATCCCTTACAAGAGTATCTCTCCAGGTGTTAAATCACTCATTGACCAAGGCAGTATTTATATGATGAATAACAGTAAATCATCGAAAAGTCTAAAATAGTTTGGTATTCCAGATCTTCGTTCTTGACACATCGAAATTCTACTGAGTATTTCGTCTTCCTCAGATCATGTAGAAAGTCGATTTCTAAGTTTTGGCTTCATACTTTGCACAAGCAAAACTCTTAATGAGATCAGTTCATTCGGCAAGTTGTAACTTTTCTAGTCTCTTCTATTCTGAGATATTCAATCTTCGAAGTTATCTCATGCGTTAAGGAAAATTTTGTTTCTAGATTTATATCGTCAGAAAGTAAATACTAGATAAGCTAAAACTTTTTCAATAGGCTAATTTCATCGAGAACTTTGTTCATGCAAATTTTGAAGTCGAAATTCAAAAGTCGACTTTTTACATTACGTGATGAGGCACAGCTTTTTTCTTGAAGCAATCAGTAATATTTCGAAGATGAAGGCTTAGACAGCTGGACTCTCTTAGATTCTGATACTATGCAGCATGGTCTACCGCCTTAATATAGTTTCGATCAAATAGTAATGGGACATTCAGGAACGTAGCTCTCGTTAGTCTAATAATAAATAAATCTTCTTGTTACTAAAATTTAATAAATAGGTCATGTTTATAATGATAGTGTTCTTATTCTTTTCTTCACGTATCTCAGAATCATCTTCATACTTTATCCGATGTTTTATTTATTTAAATTTCATTCAAAACAAAAGCAAATTAAATTTAATTAAAATCAACCAAGTTCTCGTTGACCTAAAGTAATTTTAAGTGTATATTTATGTATTCTGAATTATGTCATGAAGACTTATAAATTCACAGACGTTTATACTCAAATTACCTTATTTCATGTTACTTAATAGTCCATCACCTCTAATATCTTATTTCATAGAATCTACTAAATTTTGTTCTTTAAACCTTTGATTAGCAATACTCCGAAACCATAATCTTCAACATCTCTTTATTCAAATTTTCTAATTGATCAAATATTAACCGTGTACGTGTTATTATTTATTCATCTTTGTTTTGATCTATAATAAGTATATTTAAATTGTTATCAAAATTGAATATCACCATACAGAACAATATAGAATAAATATTATAAAAATTTTAGCGAATTCAAAAGATTCTTATTATGAATCAAAACAAAAACAGTAAAATCAAATTATTCAAAATTATGATCTCTGAGATTTGCTAAACAATAGACTAAAGAAGAAAAATGAAATAAACAGCATAGAACAAAGTATTACAGATGATAGTGTATTAAGTGACATGAAATAAAGTAATGTGAGTATTAAACATCCGTAAACTATAAATCTTGATCATATTATTTATGAAATATAAGTATATATTTAAAATTGTATTTTATAGGTCAAAATAAAAGAGTTCGTTCATCGATATAAAGATTTGTAAAATACAATATATCAAAATAAAGTCTGCAGATGATTCTGAAATATATAAAGAAAAAAAATAATAATAATAGCATTAAAATATTATTGTAATTATAAACATGAACTATTTATTAAGTTGTAACAACAATGAAATTTAGTTTTTAATTGTCTTTTAAATTAAACACATTTATTTTATATTACTTCATTTTGAAGGAGTACATTATTAATAATTAATTTTTGCTTCTAAATATCATAGAGATTTCTAGACTAATAAGTTTTTTACTAAATGAACTAGTAGAATTAATTTATACTCATTTTGGATAGCTCGTTTTATCCTACTTCTGTTTTTATTTTATATAGATAGGTCTACGAGAACATTTATTCGTTTGGTTATATTTATTGTTGAACACAAGTCAGAATTTCTAAACTATCCGTTCTATGTAGCTTTCTTGTATTTTATAAGGAAAATATTGTTCATCAACATCGAATAAATTGACTAAACATTGTTAAGAATAGTTATTTTGAAGATATTTTTAAGATAATCTTCGAATTGTTTACATTTTTAGCACAATGAAACATTCTTATCTAATTGTAACCTTCAATATATCTTCGATGACATAATATATAGAGTTGATAAACCTCCAATTTGATTTATGAAAATAACACTACGTGTTTAAGTAGATCATTTATCTTCTCATTGTAATCGTTATCTAGACTCTTTCTAGACATATTGAGATGTAGTAATATCAGATGTATTTTCCATTAGCACATGAAAATGTGGTAGTTATATCAAAATGTATATTCTCACATGTGGAAACATATGCTTAATGATTATTTTTATCTATCATTTGAAATGGTTGACAATCACAGTCATATATTTTCTTAAAATTATTCTATTTTACTTAATCTGTTGGGTATAGATTTTCTACAAGTAACACTAGTCTCAAAAATGATTTTATTAAATAATGGAAAATGTTTTTGTTTTTTCAAATGAAATTCATCTGAAGAATTTTCTTAATAGACAAAAAAAAAAAAAGAAATATGATAATGTTAAATATTCGAATCATTTAAATAAAAGCTCAATTTATTATCAAGTATTTTTAAAGAAAAGGTTAATATGACATATAAAAATCAATCCCTCATGAATTCGGTCGATATGAAAAAAAAAGTAATCATTAGAGAAATGAGCGAAAGCAACCATAATTATTATTTATTATCATTGTTGTTGTTAATTTTTTTTTTTCATATTACATGAGATATATATGAAATATTAACAACTGTATTGACCAAAAAAAATGAAATTATCAAGCAATAAAAAGAAAAAAAAAAAACAAAAAACCAAATTGAAAGAGGTCTATATAAACAAAAATAGACGCAATGTCATAAATATATATATATATATGCACAAAAAAAGAACAAAAGAAAAACTATATCCACCGGAATTTCATTTATTATTGACTGCCACTATCATCACCAGTAATAATAATTGATGGAGATTCAACTGTCAGATTATTATCTCGTCGTACAGTAACTGTTGATTGTTGATTAATTTTTAATGAAGGCAATGCTGGATCACTACTATCTTCTTCTTGTTCCATATTATCAGGAAGATGTACAGATGGATATTGATTATGAGTATGTTTACGCATACTCGTCTGTAAAGAACTATGATGACGTTGTTTATTAACTGGTGATCGAGATTGTTGTTGTTGTGGAGATTGCCTTTGTATATTATTTATTGATACTGTTTCTTCAAGTGTTTTTTGTCGTGTACGATGATGATGACGTTTTGGTGTTCCACGATATGAAATATCATCATTAGTATTTTTTTTCTTGTCTAATGATGGATCATGCATAAGAAATTCATTAACAATACGATTTGTTTTTTCATCAATACTATAATCACGTGCTATTGGCATTGAATAAACGGGTGCATTATGACTGAAACTAGCCATAGCTGTATCACGTACCATACTAAATTTTAGACGAGGTTTAGTTATACAGGTTGGAAGAATTGAATATGTTGTTAAGATTTTTGTTTTATTGGTTGTTGGTAATGTTGAAGGATTGATTAATGGTGTTTGAATATCAAATGAAATTGAACCACGTTGAGAACGAAATACTTCTGCTGGCGAATTAGATCTAGCTGATGATGTTGTTGAAGATGGTGAACGTTGAAGAATATGACGAGAATTAACTGTATTAATCATATTAGGAGAAAGATGTTGTTGAGTTGTATTTGAAGATGAAGTAGGAACAAGTATACCATTAGTAGTAGTAGAGGATATATGAGTATCAGACTTTGTTTCATGTGAATTTAATGCTATTTCATTTGTAGATGAATCTATTTCAATAAAG